CATTCAAAGGTGGGATTGGTGGGGCCAAGGATGAAGAAACGGGGGGTATGACAGAAGATGACAAAAAAGGTAATGACGGAGGTCATCGTTAGGAAGGCTTTCGACATAAGGAATCTCAAACTTGGATCCACCTCTCGTCGAGCTGGTCACCTGATCAGACCATCGACTCTGATACCACTTGTTGTGCACTAGGGGGGTTACCACACATATAAGTCAAAACCTAGAGAAGATTGAGTCAAAGACTGTGTGTTCTCCTGTTGGAAAATTCTCATATAAATACAAAGTAATTACAATTTGTTAAGCTGATTTTCAGCCCACTAAATAAGCTAAACTGCCATATATACATTTACTATGGCTAATTATCCTAAATTCCTAATTAAGAGAATAATCGTTACAAATAAATATATAATTGCATATCTTTTGCATTCATTCTGTTGACATCCCCCCTCAAATTGATGCTGGTGAATCTACAAGCATCAATTTGCCAAGTAGAAAATTGTGACGTTGGCGTGGCAACGTTTTAGTGAAAATGTCAGCGATTTGAATAGATGTTGAAACATGTGGTAGATTGATGACTCTACGATCATACGCATCTCGAATAGAGTGACAATCGACCTCGATGTGTTTCGTCCGTTCATGGTAAACCGGATTTGCTGCAATCTGTATGGCACTGGTGTTATCAACATGCAGTGGAGTGGGTTGTGCTTGAGACAATCCAAGCTCTGTAAGAAGACCACGTAGCCATATTATTTCAGAACAAGCAGCATACATTGCGCAATTTTCTGCTTCAATGGATGACTTTGATACTGAATCTTGTTTCTTACATTTCCATGAAATAGGAGCATTCCCAAGGAATATACACCAGCCAGTAGTTGATCTCCTAGTGTTTGGACAGCCAGCCCAATCAGCATCACTATATGCTTGGAGTTGAAGAGGTGAATTTTTAGGAAAGAATAAACCACGCCTTGAGGTGCCAAGGAGATATTTAATGATACGTTGTACTGCTGAAAAATGGAAGTGTCGTGGAGATTGCATGAACTTACTAACGGTGTGTACAGCAAAAGAAATATCTGGGCGAGTGATAGTCACATAGATGAGGCTACCAACTAGTTTTCGATATTGAGTGGGATCATCAAGAAGCTCTCCTTCATGTCTTCTATATTTAACATTAACTTCCATTGGAGTGTCACAAATTCAACACACATATGCTCAAATAAATGTACACTCGCATACAGTCACGTTCAAATCCTTGGTCAGTGGTCCCTGTAAGAAAAGTGTATTATATAGGACGGTTCTAATATCACTGGTTTTAAGGCCCCCAAGCTGCCCCCATTATAGGGACCCAATATCTCTGTCGCCGTCACCTGGCAAACTCTAAGGTCTGTCGCAATATTTCAGGCTAGAGTAATTGGTTATCACCTTGAGTGTGATTTTCGACAAGGATCGCAGGCTCCAAGGCCAAACTTGGGTCGGTCGTACGTCAACCACTCCCTATGTTTAATACCCTTATGCCCTCGGGTATAGGGGGACTATTGTGTGAACTTATGAAGTTCACATCTTAAGAAAAATCTTAAATATCTTCTCTAAACTTGGTCAACTTGACCTAGACTAAAACAACCTTAGAACAACCTAACTCTCTAGGATCCCTTGACCCTCACAGCCCTAAAATGACTATAAACACAACAAATCAACATTTAATACGCAACATGACATATAGTTGAATAATAAAGGATATAAAGTACTCAATGTTACATGAAACCTCTAACATTGAATGAATGTCATTATGAGCAACTATGATACCTTGACTTGCCCCCCATATAATTCATTCTAGTGTGAGTAAAGTGTGAGTCGGGTGCCCATTGTGTGGTGATCTTTTATTATTGTCCATGTGCTCCTAGACTACTTCATATGTGAGTACCTTATGCAAGTTGAGAATGATACCACATGCATATAGAATTATGATCATGAGTCCTCATGAGCCCTATGTCCCTTGTGATGTGAAGATGTATGAACTTGAGATTAACTTCTGTTTGATATGTGGTGTGCATTGCATTGTTTATATACTATTTATATTCTTTATATATGCCTATACACGTGTGTGATGTTTTCCTTGGTTGGGTTGAACGCCAATTTCAGGAGTAGAATAGATAATGAGTTTGAGCATGTGAAAGATGAAGTTAAAACTTATATTTTATTTTTATGGATTGCTCTAATTAGTGTGATATCGGGGTTTAGATGACTAGTTTATATTTCCTTTTGCTGATAATTATTTATGCAAACCTTTGTTTTAGATTTGAAGTTTCATTTGCCATACTTAAAGTCTCTATAGTTTCCTTTGGAAACTTGTTAAGGTCATTTTTATGCCTATTTATATTCTTTTATCAGAGCTTATTTTATCATTAAACACTAGAGTTTTATCCAATATGACGTATAATGTAAATCCTTTGCATACTGAACAAGTAATGCTATAATTATTATATTATTTTATTGAAACTAGTTAATGTTAAAACTTACCGTTAATAGATGTAACATTTAAATTAGGGAGTATGCTAGATAATACATTGAAGGAGTTTATAAGTTCATATAACTAGCATATATGTTAGTTTATTTTAAAATTTTATAATTTATTTTCATATGTTAAATAAAGTAGCTTGTAGTTTATAAGTTCTTTTTATTATTTTTTCTTTTAATTTAGAAACATTTTTTCTATCCTGTCGGTCTGTCAATCTCATTATAAAATCTCTTGTGTCATTTTATATTTAATCAATTAGCCTACTAATTAATTTTATTAAACAGTTTCAATTTAAATAATTAGCTTATAAACTTTAGTTTTCTACTTAATTTATAATTTATAAGTTTTCAATGAACTTATCTCAACTCTAAATCAAAGTTACTCATCGATAAAAATAAGAGAACATGCAAATTAAATTAAATTAATTGTCACAATAAACCTAACTAATTTTAACATCAAACAAACCATTCTGGCTACAAAATGATCATGGGACAAGTTAGATTAATAGGTTGCATCTAATTTTTTTTTTTTGACACCCTGCATCTTTGATCAATCTATTTCTTTTTTAAACTCAACTAATGACGCTTTCATGATTATGTATGATATTTTAAAAAAATATATATATAAACATGGATATTATGTAAAATTAACTAATAAAATTATATTAAAAAATTAATATATATTTCAAAAAATATATTAATATAAATATATTATCATATTACGTAAAAGGAATAAATTACTTAAGTCAAGAAATTTGATAATGTATCATTACCTATTAAAACCGAATCATATTTGAATTAATTTTGTCGCGCATATGGCTATTATCACGTATGAATATTCCAAAATAAGATTCTAAATGTTATATCTTAAATCCATATTATAATCAATATATATTGATGTAAATGAGATCAAACAAAACATACAGGGTACCGAAAATATTGATTATAAAATCCCTTGCATCATATAAAAGTAATACTGATTATTACCTTCTGTGTAAATAGTGCTACCATACAACAATACCAAAATTAGATGAAGTTTATATTAATATAAGAATGTTACTATTCAGAAAAAAAGAATCATACTCAACAATATGTGCTTGCTTTAGTTATATATATCTATCGTATACCAATTTTTTTATCTTAAAAAATATATAACAAGTTTTTTAAATTATCTATATAATAATTTTCCCATACCAATACAATGAAAAAATCATACTTTTTTTGTCATTCATATTTTATGAATTTACAAATTTTTCAAATGAATTTTTAAAATAGTGTATTTTGCCTTCAATTTCTATTTGTTTTTTCACATTTTGTTATTCTATTAATTGATCATGGACTGTGTTGATTAATTAACATGACATATTTGATACTAACATGTTAATTAATGATGTGAATTACTAATGTAATATGCAAATGATAACATAACATAATCGAAAATGCTAAATCCTAATTTTGAAATATCCTCTGAACGGTTAAATTTTTTAAAAAGTTAAATATGTAAATTAATCAACAATTTTTTTTTAAATGTTTTGAAAAAATTTTCAGACAATTATTTTGGAAGATATATTACTCTAAAATAATATGTATAGTAAAGTGTCAATGTAATTAACATATCAATTGTTAACATGTTATGTTATCATCAACCAATGAATTGCATTAATAATTAACTAACAATGTCAAACTAATAATTAATGAATGATAAAAGGTGGAATATTTTAAAAATTAAATTAGAAAATATACAATTTGAAAATTAAATGATAAAATTTACACAATCATGAAATTCAAGTAAAAAAAAATTACAACGAATCCTACAATAAACAGACAAAAAACTTAACAGGAAAGAATATTCTGCTAATAGAAAGATCCAAGAAGTTGTGAAAGAGGAGGCAAAAAATCTGTCATTATAAAAGAGAATTAAATTATTCATAAAATAAATTATGGAGCGCTTAACAAGGCTAGAAATTATTAGCTAACGACTATGCTATTTTTGTCGTCGAGCTTTTATTAACAAAATCATTACACTTTATGTTTTAACAATAAAATAAATCTTTCCATTATTTTTTATCATTTCATTATCTGAATACGTAAGGTATTCTCATATTAATTCTTAATTTTTTTTAAAAAATATAAGTTTATGAAAATTTGATTAATTGGTTACATTAGTTTAAAAATTAAAACAATGTATGTTTTAAATGATAATATTGATATTTAATTAATGATAAACGTTAACTTAAAGAAAAAAAATTAAAAACTTCAAAAATTAATTTAAAATTTTCTTCTTTTGTGGAATTAATATGATACGATAACGAATTACAAATCAAATTACCAAAAGAAAATAGAAGATGAAATTGTTACATCATTTTAGCATTAATAAGAACAATGATAATTCTGTGAAACAAAAGCAAGTTGTCTGAATCGAGGGAAAGGGACCCACAAAGACAAAGACAGTCGAGCTTTTTACAGGAGCCAAAGCCATTGATCTGTGTCTTATCTATTCAGTTGTGCGTACAGTGTTGTTGTTTTTGTGTCAAACTCAATTATTCAAAGTCAATAGCAACGGTTCAAGGTGAAGCTAACGTGCACCCCAATTTAAGTCTTCATTTTTCTTTGATTTTTCCTCCACACACAGATCACAACAGCAACTCTCTCACGCACTACTTTCTTTGACCACTTTGCTGTTTGCACTTTGCACTTTTGGTTCTTCCTCTTCCACATCATCGATCAACACAGGTTGGAGTTGGAGACACGGTGTGTCACCAGAAAATAAGGATAAAAAGATTATTTTTTTTTTGTTTTTTTTTTTTTGTGTTGGGGAATGGGAAAAAGGTTGCCCTTATATTTATATAACGGTAATTTGGAAATGAGTGGTAGTTAGAAGGCTGAGAAAGACTATCCAGCAGAATTTTTTCATGTGGGGTTTTGTCAAGTCAAGATTATTTTCAGACTAAGGAGTAAGGGATAAGAAGATCCAGAAGCGTTTTGAGAAAGGTATGACTCAATTTCTGAGCTCCCATTTGAGAATTTAATGTGACTTTTGGAATTTTTGTTGTGTGCTTCCTAGGTGGAAATGGGGGAGGTCATGTTTGTTTTTATTGTAGCATTTCAAGTTTTGGGATGGTAAAGTTTGGAGCTTTGTAGAGGATTGTCACTGGGTGGGGTTTGGTATTGGAAATTTCTAATTCTGATTGATGTAAGCTGAATGTGAAGTAAAATTGTGTTGGTGTTATGATTGGTGGTTTTGAGGGGTTTATTTGTCAAGGATTTTTGCGGATTCAGTGTATTGTGTTGAATTTGTTAGAAAACTCAGGGTCTCCTATGGTTTATGCTGTTAAGATCGGAATATATGTTTAATTTGTGGCATTGCCTTTTTGTTGAAAGAAAAAAGAATGCATTTTCAAAATGAACTGCTACTGAATTTAGCTTTTTTAGTGGTGAGTATTGTGTGGGAAAACATGGAAGTTTTGATTCTGGTGCTTTTGTTGATGATTAGATGTTGATGAATTAGAAGAGTGGAGGTAGATGCTAATAGCGAGTGTTAGAAAAAGAAACCAGGCATCTAAATTTGTTAGATGTTTTACATTTTTTGCTTTTCGCCATATATCGCTTGAGTTCTGCAATGTCAGGAAAAGTGAGAAAGTGAGGTGAGGAAATTAACATAAGGATGAAATGCTGCGTATGAGGTTTTGAAATTCATGTGAAATGAAAGGTGAACGGAAACAACATGTAAAGAAACAAACTAGGTTAATTGATCCTCAAAAAATAACTGCCATTCTACCATTAATAGAAAATCTTCCAGTACCTAGCTTTTTGTAACTTTTTTTATCTGTATTTTTTCAATTCCTTACTAGTTGGTATACAACAGCAATTTTTTTCCTTTCCACTGTAGATTTGAAGGGAAAAACATAAGTATGCCAATGCTTTCTTTTTATGTTTTCAGTAAATACTTCCAAGAAATGAGAGCATACAAATTCCTCACTATTCCTTTAGCAAATCCTTCCTCCTCTGCCTTCTACAAATGATCAAATCATTCTAGAGGATCTGTGTGAACTTTAGATGTAATCTATGTAGGCCTACTAATTACCAACTGCTAACCGTTGTTGCTTTTTTTTAGCTGATCATTAGTGTTAGGCTTTCCCTCAAGGACAAAACTTAGATACAGTTGGTATAATTCTTGAATCAAAATTGAAGTTTCACCTCAGCAACACGTTTTTACATTTAATGTAGACTTCAGAAATGTTAGAATAGTAGATTAAGTCTAACTCAACCCTACAAAACCGGCTTGTAAGGTGAGGTTGCTTTCCACTTATATACTATTCACTATTCCTTTAGCAAATCCTTCCTCCTCTGCCTTCTACAAATGATCAAATCATTCTAGAGGATCTGTGTGAACTTTAGATGTAATCTATGTAGGCCTACTAATTACCAACTGCTAACCGTTGTTGCTTTTTTTTAGCTGATCATTAGTGTTAGGCTTTCCCTCAAGGACAAAACTTAGATACAGTTGGTATAATTCTTGAATCAAAATTGAAGTTTCACCTCAGCAATACGTTTTTACATTTAATGTAGACTTCAGAAATGTTAGAATAGTAGATTAAGTCTAACTCAACCCTACAAAACCGGCTTGTAAGGTGAGGGTTGCTTTCCACTTATATACTATTCAATTGCCTAATCTCTAGTCGATGTGGGACTTGGGTTTTTCTCAATACACCCCCTCACGTCCAGCACTATCAGACTTGGTACGTGGATAAATAGTGGGTAGCCCTTTTTAATGATCTAGGATTGGTGGGACTTGGGTTTTTCCCAATAAGAAATATATATTTACGTGTGTTACCAAGATGAAATTCCAACTCTAATCAGAGAACAACATCAATAGTATCTATGGTACTGTATTTAAGTTTGGTCCTTCCCTTAATTAATTATTGAATTGTACACTATCAATTTTTATTTATGTTGTATTAATACATAAAGTATAGTTGTTTTGTTTCTTACACAAAAGATCTCTCATGTCTACCTTACTTTCAGGACTGGTGCCACAAGATACAGACTAGCAATGGATGAATTTGCTAATAATGTTCAAGGTGACTTGTATGCTGTAAATGCAGATTTTGGAAAACCCTACTCACTCCAAGGGTTCTCAACTAAAGAAAATGATGTGAAAGAACTGGAAATATCCCTGCAAGCTTTAACAGAAATAGACTATCGTTTAGCCTATTTTTCTGAGAAGCTGGTGAACTTGCATGTCCTTTATATTTATCTATTGGCCGAGGAAAATGATCTTGAAGCAATGGATTCAAATAATAACTGCATCTTGGAAAACTTATTTGAGAAGGCAATGACATTTGATCTTTTGTCTGGCATTTTAGACTCTGAGGTAAGAGAGCTGGACAATTTCATGGACACTCTCCAAGAAGAAATTGTTGATGCTCGTCATAAAATATTCTCATGCAAACATTTGACTGAGGTTTTCTTTATGATGGACAAAAAATTGCATGACTCTGAAGAATCTGTGAAGCAGTTTCAGCAGCAGTTATTGGAGTTGAAAATGCAATCATCCCAGTTACAGAAAACCTTTGAGGCTTTCCAACACGAGAATTGTAAGTTGAAATTTTTACTCATTTTTGTTCAACATGTTTATAATGAGGATGCAGTTCTTTTCCAAGTTTTGGGTGACTGTTTACCTTTCTTAGTCATCCATGTAAACAGGTGAAACGGGGAAGGCCTTGAATTTATCAGGAAATGGTCAACTGACAGATGTGAAAGCAAAATCCAACGATCAGATGGTTGAAAAACGAAGGTATATTCTGCGAATGCTGGAGAAATCTCTCACAAGGGAGCTAGAACTTGAAAGGAAGTTAGCAGAGTCAAGAAAAAATGAAGAGTTAAAGCTGAAACTCCACTACACAGAACAAGTGGCATTTTATATGGAAGAAGCAGCAGAAGTAGTTTGGGGAAGATTTCTAGAGGCAGACAATACTGCAGAGGTGTTAATGGGGATTTCTAAAGGTATAATGGGACGCCTTAAGATAACTGAGTTCAACCTCAATGGTTCTATGCAACGCGAAAATGAGCTGAGATCAAAACTTCAAAGTTTGATAGAGCAACTCAAGGATAAAGATGCTGCTTTAGAAAAGTTTGAGACATGTAATGCGGAGAGTATTAAGGAAAAATCTGAGTCTGAGGTGTTGGCTTTGAGAGAAAAGGTGAAATTTCTTGAAGAAGAACGAAAAGATTTTGAGTTTCGTATGAATAATTTGATTGCAGAGAATGAAGCATGTCATGAACAACTACTTGAAATGGAAAATTTTGTTGAGTCTCTGAAGGAAAGCACTGACATGGCAGAAAATCGGGCTGACAGTGCAGAAGCGAAGGTTACACAGTTAACTGATACCAACTTGGAACTTACTGAAGAGCTGAATTTTCTTAAAGGGAGTGCTAGTACTGCAGAGAAGAAGGTTGGTTCACTTGAGAAGCAACTAAGGGAATTAGATATCCAACTACAGAATGCAAAGGCGTCTTCTGAAGCAAGTCAAGAACAGCAGAACATGTTATACACAGCTATATGGGATACGGAAATATTAATTGAAGAGCTTAAATCAAAGGTTTCAAAATCTGAAAGTAATGCAGAGCAATGCTTTGTGCTTTCTGAAACTAACTTAAAGCTAAATAAAGAATTGGATCTTCTTAGGTCCAGAACAATAAGCTTGAAAACATCTTTGGATCAAGCTAGCAATACAAAATTATCAAGTGCAAAAGAAATTGATACTAAAACCAAGCTTATCATGGATATGGTCATGCAACTAGCCTCTGAAAGGGAGCGCATCAATAACCAGGTAATGACTTGAATCAAATTCTAATTTTGAACTAGTTTCAATGTTTCTTTTAAGAGAAACTAGTATTTTGGGCCTTTAAAGATATGTGTGTCGTGTACTCAATTGGGTTCCCTAGAGTTTGATTTTATCAAATGAAACATTCAATGTCTTAATTTATCTAAGTTTGGTCCTTCAATGCTTATTTTGTGCAATTTTTGTTCATGTTCATTGATTATGATGCTAGGACCCAATTGAAATGAACTAAAATATTTATTGTTGAAATTATGCCTTGCATTACACAATTGAGAAAAATGTATATTTTAAGGACCCAAATAGTGTTTATAAATTATTTTTAGTTTTTCAAAGGATATTAAAGAAAATGTATCTTTGCGAATTATCTTTGGTATATCTGAATCAGAATTTCCGTTCCAGATATATAACAGTTCATAAGTGCTTATACTGAAAGAAACAAGTGGAGATAGTTTACTTTACGGCAGCCATCAGTTCTAATCATTAGGTTTTTGCATGATTAATATAGAGAATAAATTAGTAATTTTCCTCGGAAGAAAGTCGGATACCCAAGAATTAACATGACAATTTTCTAGTTATAATTGTGTTTGATGTTTTATTTTATTTTATTTTATTTTTCAAAAAAGCCTGGATTCATTATTCAAATTTTGCTGAGCTATGATACACTACCAGGAAGTTAACATTCTTATCACCATGTTCTTCCCGCAGTTAGATGCTTTAAAACAGGAAAATAAACATTTGGTTGACAAGTTAAAGAATACCAAAATTGGTGTCCCTTTAGATGCATGCAACAATGGACTAAATAACAGAAACGAAGATCAGGCTTCCAACAATGACTCAAGCAATGATAGCTGTGCTAAATCATCAGATGAAGAAGGAATTGATCATTTTAATAAGACCTTTCAGGCAGGTACTTTTTTGGTCAGTCAAATCTCTTTTACTAGTTCATATGCATATATGATGATGATAGGTGAAACCTGGGTGTTAAATTTAGTTGTTCTTGTAATGACACTGCATATAAGACAAATGTTTTGTTTATTACATAATTAGTGCCTTGACAAGCTTTAGGGTATGCTTTGTGTTGTGATTCAGGAATTGTGTGTATTGTTGTACACATACCAATCTTATTTATAGAGTGAATACAATAAATGATAGAGATAATAATCTATAATATTATGGAAACTAATCTAATCATATCCCTAATTGATAGTGAGGATAATAGCCATAATATATGTGTCCACAATATCTGTAATATATTCACAATATCTGTAACACTCCCCCTCAAGCTGGAGCATATATATCATATGCACCAAGCTTGTTACAAATGTAATCAATCCGAGGTCCTTTAAGCGATTTTTGTGAACATATCTGCTAACTGGTCACTGGAGGCAGCCGGAGGCAGCAGTCAGAGGCGGCAATCGGAGGCAGCGACCGAAAGCGGCGATCGGAGGCGATGGCCACCTGAAGCGACGGTCGGAGTCAGCGACTGGAAGCGGTTGTAGGTGGCGACCGGAAGCGGCGGTCGGAGTTGGCGACCAGAAGAGGCGACCGGAAGTGGCGGTCGGAGTCGGCGATCGGAAGCGGCGGTCGGAGTCGGCGACCAGAGGCGATGACTAGAGGCGGCGGTCGGAGTTGGCGACCGGAAGTGGCAGTCAGAGGTGGCAATCGGAAGCGACAGTTGGAGGCGGCGACAGGAAGCGACCAGTGACGACGGTGTGACGACCCGAGGTGGCGGTCGGAGGCGACAACTGAAGGTAGCAACCAGAGGCGAAGGTCGGCGGCGCGGCAACTGGCGGCACGACGACCGGAGGCTGCAGTCGG